CAAAGAAAAGTAAATCAGCACAGCTGATTATTAGAGGAAGCGCTGTTGCAGCTAAAGCAAATGTGACAAAGCTGTGGACAGGCCAAGGAATGCTCAGAAAGGGTGAGCCTTGACAAGCCTTGGTCCAGAGCCCTGGCAAACTCACTCCAAAGCCTGTGGCCCATCATTAGCAATGGCAATACCTTCGGTGTTGCTATAGATGCAGCTTAACAATATCATCAACACAGCTGGTGTCTGGCACATTATACTGGACAAGCTGGAGGGTATGGAAAGGTTATAATAATGTGAGAAGACCTGATTGTTTAGAGTGGTAGGTTGCACTCATATGGACTAATAATGAAATACTTGCTTCTGTAATCTGGGACCTTGCCAGTTGCTTTGGGAAGAACAGATGAAGGGAAGGACTTGTGCATAAAGTTATTAACAGCAAAAAAAGCCACCTGTAAAAGGCATATGTGATCCTGGGGTGTTACATATAGTAGCTTCAGTCAGGCTAGGAAAAAGAAACTCTTGTTCACCAGTACAGCTTCATCCAAAGTTGTCTGCTTTGTTCTGAATGCTTCTGTTCAGGAAAGACTTGTTCTGATTCAGGAGTACCTGGGTATGAATTAATTGTGTGAGTGCAGAGAGAGTCCCTCTGGCAAGCCTGGCTTGCACTAGCAGAGATCCAAAGGTTTAAGAAGTGCACGCCTGTGCTGCCTTGGGCTGTCCACTTGAGTGGGATTGTAAAATCAGGTTGGGGTAATGTGGGATTTAGAGTGGGAGGCTCAAGCTCTGCTCAAGAGGTCCCTTAAACTGCAGCCATGGAATGATTTCTTGCTGATTCTTTCTGAGGCTCAGCATGTAATTGAAGCCATGGATGGATGGTTGATGAAGTCATTAATTCTCTGATTGCCTGCCATTTTTAAATTTTCCTTTCATTTTTTACTCCCAAGCAGAGATTGACTGTGAAATCAACTGTAAGCCTGAAGGAATTCCTATGCCTTATTGTTGCTGCAAGAAGCTACTTGCTACGGTGTATCTCAACTGCTCTTCTAATCTCCTTTCATTAGACACTTCATGCTTTTTTAACTCTCTCTGGTTTAGTGTTTAACTGTCATTAACCACTTCTCTCTTCTCTCTTTCCTGTTATGGTGCTCTTTATGTGATTACACACTCTTTTTTCCTCATGTTGTTCCAACTTCTAATTTAAACTGTTCTAAGCTCTCTTTCTCTCTACCTTTTCTCTTTTCTGAAGTTCCTGTAGCAGCCCACACTTTAAAAATCTCCTCTTTCTTTCTTTCTTTCTTTCTTTCTTTCTTTCTTTCTTTCTTCCTTTCTTCCTTTCTTCCTTTCTTCCTTTCTTCCTTTCTTCCTTTCTTCCTTTCTTCCTTTCTTTCCTTTCTTTCCTTTCTTTCCTTTCTTTCCTTTCTTTCCTTTCTTTCCTTTCTTTCCTTTCTTTCCTTTCTTTCCTTTCTTTCCTTCTTTCTTTCTTTCTTTCTTTCTTTCACTTTTATCTTTGTCTTTCTGTGGTTGTAAATACCCCTGCCATTTGTTTAAATTACACCATCTTGCTCTGTTTAGGGGCTGTCATACAGGATTTTAGAGATGCTTTCCTCTCATGGCACATGATTTACTTGTTACCATTGGTGTAGACAGAAGGCTCATTGCAAAAATCAAAATATCCAGGAGTCATTCATTTTGTATGTAGCAAAACACTTATTTCATTGCTATTACCATTTCTGGCAGTTCTTTAAATCAATGATTGAACAGAAAACGTTATCAAAGAATCTTATAAAAAGGAAGAATCAACCCTTTGGGTTTTGAAAAAGTAAACAAAAAAGAGTTATTTTCAGTAGAATATATTGTTTGGTGAGTTTTTATCTTAAATTGTCTTTAACTGCCAACTAAAATATTTGTAAGAAGAGCTGAAGATTGGACTCACATACTTGCTGGTAGATGGCATTTTCTGGCCTTTTGAAAAAAATACTGACTATTTTGTGAGTATTACATATAGGCTGCTTGTAATCTTGTGAGAACTCCCACCTTTGCTGTTTGCCATCCAAACTGTGCAAAACAGTTAAATGGTTTTCTATGGTTATACTGGTTACATCATATTTGAGCTGGTGGTGTGGTGTGAGGCAAAGTCTGCATTTGTACAACATGACTTTTCACATGTAGGTACAGGAGAGGCACTTCAGGAAGCAGCCTGGTCTCTGCAGAGAGACGAAATATCTATATCTCTGTAGGGTTAGTGTTTGCATTAGACATTTGGCAAGTGTTTTGTCTGTAGGGGAGTCTTGAGTCTTAGGAAAGCATGCTATATTAAGGCTCTGTGGGGTTTTTCTTTATAGGGCTCCTGGAATGTTTCAGACTCCAAAACCCTAACTATTTTCCTCATCTGTTTTGCTGAAAAGACTGTCAGTCTGATTTAAATTTGAGTCCCTTTCAATTTAATATGAGGCAGCTTCCCTAGTGACAGTTATCCATGACTCCCAGTGACTGGGGAGCCCCTGGGGTATGTGTGACTACATCCTAGGTCCCTGGGATGAGCAGCGAGGATGTGGGAGGCAGCCCCAAAACTGTGACCATCTCTTGTATTTGGTGGCATCCTTCAGAATAAAACCACTAGTGCTGCCTTTGCTTCAGCTTCTGACACCTGGCAGACAGTGACTTGAGAAAGTGTTTCTATCTCCTGCTATATGTGTGCTTCCATGAAATGAACTCTCTCTTTCAACAAAGGATTCTGGAAAGCTGATTGGAAGAGATGAAGTGAGAAGACAAACTATAGTGAAAATGGGATGTTAGGGGATGTGCAGTGTTACTGGTGGGAAGCTCCCTTGAAGGAAAGGGGCAAGGAACTAAGTGTGGAGTTGGATTTTTAATAGTATGGCAACTGTATTTGAATCATAGAATGGTTTGTCTTGGAAGGGACCTTGAGGATCATTTAATTCCAACTCCCTGCCATGGGCAGGGACACCCTTTTGCTAGACCTGTTGCTCAGCACTCCATCCAACCTGGCCTTGAACACTTCCACGGCTGAGGCTTCCACAACTTCCTTGGGTAACCTGTTCCAGTGCCTCACCACAGGCGCAGTAAAGAATTTTTTCCTAATATCTAATCTAACCCTACTCTCTATTTTAATTAATTTCTCTTTGTTTGGTTACTATATGCTCTTGTAAAAAGTTTCTCATCATCTTTCTCAAGAGCTTCCTTCAGGTATGAAGGCTGCAATTAGGTCACCCCAAGCCTTCTCTTTTTCTGGCTGCACAAACACAATTCTCTCAGCCCTTCCTCATGAAAGAGGTGTTCATTTGATTATGGAAAAACAATTTGAAGTAAACTGAGCTAAAAGGCAGGTTGAGTATTTAGTTTTTAATTGCTTATTTAATGTATTTCTTTTTTTATCTATTTTATTTGTTTTATTAATTTTCTGTAAAACATGAGAGGCTCTGAGTGGAAACATGCAGCAGAAAAAAAGGAAAAACAAACCCAAGCTCTGGCAACTCACGTGCTCTACTGTGGGCTCTGTTTGAGTTTGCTGGAAACAATGGTGGTCTTTTCTTCTTCATGGGAAATTATACTTTCTTTTGAAGTAAATGAAACTTCTGCTAATGATAGCTCTTTCAGACATTTGAATGCCAGGCCTCTTGCAGTCTTCAAATGAATTTATTTCAACACAGCTATTAAGTTGTCTCATCTGACTTCTAGAATTATATTAAAGCCAGATACATAAAAGTCTCCATGTTTGGGATTCCTCTCCTGTTTTCCATGTCAGTTATAACTGTGTTGCATTTGAGCAAGAGGTTGCCAGCAGAGAATACTGGGGAGTGCCAAATTAAATTTCAAATACATTTTGTTCTTTGTTCATGTTGAGAAATATTTTTCCTCCATGGTTGCTGTGCTCAGCAAAATGAGATGAGGCTGCCATTAAACTCTCTGTAAATATCAGTCTAGCTGAGTTTTAAAGACTGTCTTTAAAACTGTGGCACTGTTACTCCTCCTCTGAAGGCTGGTGTAATATGAACGTCTCGGGTCCTGAGGAAAAACAAAACAAAAAAAGATTGAAGACACCTTCCTTTCATCCAAGCAATCTCTAGTCCACTGTCTTAGTACCTGGCTGCCTACTGGAGAGATGTCTCTAGGAAAGAGGGACATTGCTTATTTTTAAATTATGTGTTGAAGGCCTTGTGTTCTGATAAACAGTGCCAAAGTGAGATAGTGCAAATTATAGAAATAGGAAAGGGAAAGCTCAGAATGACTTTTGGTGACTGGTTAGTGAATGATGCTTCAATCCCAAGTAAATGAATTTAATACCATTTTGTATTTGAATATTTGCTTCCCAAATCCAGATTTCAGGTTTATTAGCATGCTGTAGGTAGCCTCTAGCAGTGTGTGCAAGTCCTATCTCTGTGCCTACTTTGCACATCAAACAATTAGCTTAATTTATATTATGAAGAGACACTAATTGGAGGGGAAGGAAGAAGTATGTAGCAAAATGCCAGTGACAATTAAGATAATGCATCACATATCACCTGTATAAGTTTTTGTGAAAAAAGCTGTTTTCAGATGTCACTTAAGCCTAATAAGAACTTCAACTCTTGCAAGGTGGACAGTAAAGTATCCCCTGCCTCATATGAATTGGTAAAGTGAAAAATAAAGTGTATTTTTTGCTTATTTTTACACAGTCAGGGGTCAGAAAAGAGGAGAGGAGTTCCAGACCTTTCAAGATCCTTGATTCTCTAACTGGTTTAAAGAAGACAAGCAATAGTTACAGAACTTCCCACCAGTAATATCAGTGCTGTAGATCACGGGTTTGGTACACAGGCTGGAAAATAGTTAAAAATCTCCGTATTCTCTCTGGAGTGAAGATAATTGCTCATTCTGGCAATAGCTAATTATGTTTGACTTGCTTGTGTTTTGCGGTCCTGAAGCAGAGCTTCCCAAAAACGCTTTAGTTGGAGTCCCACTTTTTACAGTCTCACTAACCATTTTTTTCCTTCTCTGTCATTGATCTGCAGAATGCAACAGCAACAACAACGTCGAATGTTCACAGCTGCCCTCCTGGCACTCTTTTTCCTTCTGGCAGCTGTGAGTACCACTGAGGCTGGCAAGAAAGAGAAACCAGGTAAGGTCCAGTCTAATTCAGAGTTAATCCCCAAGATAGATTGCATGCCTGTGAGAAGGTCAAATGCTTCTGGTTTTGTTATGAAATCAGGTCATTTGTTAACCTTTTGACATCAGGGTAGATTTTTGGCTGTGACACGTTGTTCTGTGTTAAATAGGGAAGCAGAAAGGGGTTTCCATGTCAAGTGGCAGCTTGACAACCCCAGAGACTGGAGTCCTTGGTTCATCACAGAGTGGATATTGCAAAGCAGCTTAAAATGTGCTCCATGAATAGTTTCATGCTTGACTTAGGGGGAGCCAAACAGGCATGATGAAAGAGCAGTTATGTCACTTGCTCAGCGTTATATATGACAGTGCTACACTGATGCTGTGTGATGTGGAAATCCTCTGACAAAGAATTGTACTAACTTGCTGTTGCACAGACAGCCAGACATCCAGCAGTAGTTTCTTTCTGTCAGTGATGAACTCAGACCTCATTGCAAGAGAAACTGGCCCAGGGTGAAAAATTCATATCTGTCAAACTCCATTTTGACAGTTTTTAAAGAATGTATTTTTTGGTGTTTTTCTTAAGGTCTTATTATTTTCTGGCATCTTAGGTACCAGATAATATGAACTGAGAGTCCATCAGAATTAGTGTTCCCAGTAAAAATAAAAGAAATTTTTAACCATTTTGTCTTTGTGGAAATATGAGAAAATGGTAGGATAAACATGCAAGACCTAGAAGAAAAAAAAAATTATGTAAGTATATTTACAGTTACTTGTGATGATTTAGGGGCTTAAGCAATTTTTTTTGTGAATCCCTGTGTTTGATAACATTTCTATCTTTTCTCATAAGTCTTTTGTTTAAGGATCTAAATAAAATCATGATCCTTATATTTACCCTGAGCAACAAACTCACCTGAATTAGAAGCACTTCGAGTACACTTCTCCATGTAGCTCCTTTGCCTTTGAAGTATTCTGTTATAAAATGTGACATGGTATAGCAAATCAGAAGTTTTCATCCCACAGCTGTTTCCTGCAGGTGCTCAAATCCTCTGATACACAATTTCAGCACATACATTTCTCACTTTTTAGTGTGTAGTGCTTCAGCTGGAACTGAGGATATTTGCATGCCCCGAGCTAGTGGAGACAGCTTTCTGAGTGAGAGCCCTCCTGCATGTTTTGCTCAGTGATCCCTGTGGGTTTTTAGATTTCTGAAGATGACAATCCACTTGAGAATATTTGAATGGACTAGTAAACATGGCAGTGGGAGTGAGTTTTAATGATCATCGTGCTTTGGACTCGGATTCTGTCTCTGCAGAATTGTGAAGAGGATGTCAGACCTTTTGCTTTTAAGGGAATTGTGTTATGAATGTCTTCCTCACTTATCCTTCCTGTGACTTTGGTTAAGTTTAGGCAACTTCTCCATAGGCTTTGGGCACTGAGCACTTCTCTTGCTTGGTTTCTTGTCTTCATCCAGAGAAAAAGGCGAAGAAGTCTGACTGTGGGGAGTGGCAGTGGAGTGTCTGCGTGCCCACCAGCGGTGACTGTGGCCTGGGGACACGTGAGGGCACCCGCACTGGAGCTGAGTGCAAACAAACCACCAAGACCCAGAAGTGTAAGATTCCCTGCAACTGGAAGAAGCAATTTGGAGGTCAGCATTGCTCTCTTAAGGGGTTTACTTTGGTTTTTATTTTGAGCATGGGGCAGGAAGCCTGCTTTTCTGCTTAGTTCCGCAGATGTCTTGGTGAAGGCGTCAGTCCTGAGTTCAGGCTCACCAGAGCTGGAAGATGGGGGGTGCCAGAAGGCAGCTTCCTCAGAGCTCCTCTGCAGATAGTCCCTGTAACCTGTGTATTATAAACTGCCTTCCTGCATGCTGGAATCTGCTCTCTGTGGTGTTCAGCCCTGTTCAGAGCAGTAGTGCAAGTTCACAGCTGTGAACCTCTGTGATGGCTATCACAAGCTTTTACAGTGTGTGATGTGGAGCGTGGCGGGCTGGCTGCCTGTGTGTGCAGTGAAAGGAGGGAATGAAAACTGGTGTATTTTTATCATTCCAGACCAGTGTATTTCATTTTTACCATTCAGTTCAGCAGGTTCATATGTACCAGTTTGGGAAGACATGTCAGATCTGGACAAGATGTCTGTCCAAAACTCAAATTTTATTACTCTTACAAACTTGGCACTTTTTTCTAGTAAACAGCTTGCATGATTTTGAAATTATTGTGACCTTACCAATATAATAAGTGCTGCAGTTTCAGACTTGAGAAGTCTATGGGTGCACAGACATTCTAGAAACTATTCAAGCTTTATTTGGTAACCTCTGGCATCACACAAATTGAGAAACAACCATATGGAATGTAAATGACATTTCAAACTGCTGTTTCTTTCTTTTTTTGTTATTGTTGTGCTGTTCATATTCATAGCTAAATGGATTTCTCTTAATATGCCAAAAAATGAAATATCCATGCAAAAGCAAGAGGATTAAATTTTAAAGCACTGGGGAGGGGAGGAGACTGCAACTACCACTGCAAATAATCTTTAAAGTTTTTGGGATTATTTTCTTCAGTTGCACATCTTTTTGTCTGCAAGCACCAACTGCCTGTGATATCCTATTAGTCTCACAATGTTTTTATTTTCACACTCAGTCATTGTGTTTTAAATTTTGCCTTTTTCTTCCTTGCTGCAGCGGAATGCAAATACCAGTTCCAGGCCTGGGGAGAATGTGACTTGAACACGGCCTTGAAGACTCGGACTGGGAACCTAAAGAGAGCCCTTCATAATGCTGACTGCCAGAAGACTGTCACAATCTCAAAGCCCTGTGGGAAGCTTACCAAACCCAAACCTCAAGGTAAATTTCATTTGCTGAAAGCTGTATGATAGTTCACTTAAATCACTGGGTTTGTGATGTCCTGCATGCTTCAGTGGGAGCTCATTTGTACAGGATATTGCACTTTCATGGCCTTTCCTCAGCTTTGCACTGCTTCTGTCTGTCAGGGCTCAGGCAGGGAATATTCCTGAGCTGGATAGCCAAGGCTGTCTCACACTTGACAAGTAAGCTGAAGATTAGAGCTCAAATTTTAACTTTAGACCACCTGTACTGTTACCAGTTTGCTTATGCAGCTAGACTTCCAGAGTAAAGATTCTTTTCGTAACTCACTCATTAATGGGAATGGAATAATAATGACATGAAAATATATCCCTTGAGAAAGATATATTTTATATAGGTTTTGGTTGGTATTGGATAATGACTAGTTGAAAAAAGGACTGCTTTCCTTCTGGACAAGTAGCATTGAAAAGATATTCTCACTGCACACTGAAATATGAAAATACTGTACACCCTTGGGGCTGTTTATTCTTTATTCAAACATAGCAGGAAGAACAGTACATAATGTATATGTCTTATTTAAGTGTGACTGACAGTATAATTCCTGGTACACAGAAAGACATATGCCCTGCATTTGTGTTACCAGGTGGCCCTTAGAAAAACTTATTTTCTTTCTAATTATTAAAACCTTTTAATGTACTCTTTTGGTGGAATAGCAGGTGTTATGTATATAGGATGATTTATAGTGGGAGCTAAAACTGTGAGAGCTTGTTTGAGATACAAAAGTAATGTGTTTTAAGTAGATTATAAAAGCTATGCTACCCTGACATTTGTTTGCTTAAAACTAGAAGGGTTTGACATATTCCAGGTTCTGAATGCTTGGATAGCAATACAAATAAATGTGATTAGGGGTGACAGGTGCACCTGGGACAAGCAATTTTCCACTTGTGGGCTGTGGGGCACCATTGATCGGAGGAGTACCTGCAGGTGGCCTGCTCTGCTTGAGCAACCAGAGAAGCTGCAGGCACTTTGTGTGTGTGTGTGCATGCATGCATCCATACACGTGACTGGTTTTCCTTGCACACCATCCATGGAGTTATCAGATGAGTCTGGAACCTGTGCAGACAGTGACAGGCTGTGGAGCAGCAAACTTACAACTAGATTTTCAGAGACCACCTGAGTTGGTTGAGCTGGTAACAATAAACATCATTTAGGGATTGAAGTGATTGGATGGGAATGCAGGAAGGGCTTTGAGATGTGTGATTTTATTGTTTAGCAGTTTTGGGGGCAGGACTTTTTTTCATGTTTTTGCTGTTTTCTTTTTTTCACTAAGTTTCCATGCCTAAGTAGCCTTTGGGAGTTTACTGAATGAGGCTTCCTATTGTGCTGCCAGAAGGCCTCTGCCCCTCGAGCCTCTGCCTTGCTTGTCCTGCTTCCACTGAGTCATATATCTCTATCCTGTCAGTCAGTGGCTGTCAGAACAGGGAAGAGGGGACAAAGCAGAGCACTGATGCAGCATTGTTTTGTGAGAGTAGTGCTCTTGGGTGGTACAGGCTCATTTTTGATTTAGAGTTTTAAAGGCAGAGCTTGAGAAATTGCTGGATTGGAGTCAACTTTAACTGATTCTAGAGTCTAGGAATGAGTTGTAGCTGAGACTGAAAATTGGATTGGGACTGACTACAGCAACCAGTTGTGGGGTTTGACTTAATTACGAGACCTGGCTTTATTTGATCTGAATGAATGCAAAAAGAGAAATAGGTACAAATGTGGGTTTTTAATCATAATAACTGTGGGCAGCTCTGCTCTCCTGATCTGCGTTAGAAATCTTCCTGCATGCCACCTGCTCGCTCATCTGCTCTTGGCATTAGTAGGAGCAGCAGGCATGGGAGTCACACACACATAGCCTGCCTGGGCTCAGAGCTAAGTCCATATTGCAGATCCGTGGGTACAACTACACTGGGCAGTGTGTTGGCACCAGGAGGAGGAACTAGAAGAAGAAATTAGGTCAAGCAGATTAGTACTGTGTGAAAAGTTTTGCCCCACTGAACTTTATTTCTGAGTTAAAAATCAGAGTGCTGGAATGTTGGCTGGAATTAGACTATTTGTTTTCCTGAGGTGAAGGAAAATACAGGTTGGCGGTAAGTCCAAACCCACAAATAAGATAAAGGAGAAGATTTAAACTGCATTAAATATGTAGCTAGAATCTTAATGAATTTCCTTATTTGGAAATGAGAAGAACTGGGTTATGGCCTGAGCACTTCAAATGGTCTACAGTTATATGTTAGGCTCCTTTTTTCTCCCCTAACTTTGCATCAGTGCCTCAAGACTATAACAAAGAAAGCCCATGATGCATTATTTGGAAGCAGCAGCTCATTTTCTGAAGCGTGAAAGGTCTGTACTAATATCCAGCTAGATCTGTGGATGCTGATCAAGGGCTGGCCATTCCTACTGGGATTGCCAGGCCAAGCAGGGCAGGGACTTTCTGGCAAGGTCTGCTCTGGCAGCAGAGCAGTCAGCCAGGGGCTCAGCAGTTCAGGAATCTGTTTTACTGTAAATGGTCTCCTCTGAGTGGTCTTTGCTTCAAGGGGTGCACCAATGAATGCATCTCTGACAGCAACAGGCTGAGAGTACCAAAAGCAGACGTGAACTGACTGAAAATATTGCACTTAAAAATACCAGTGTATTCTGAAAAAAGTGTTTTTGTAATTTTCCTGACTGGCCCCCTTTCCAGCGAGGTGAAGTTTTTATTCTATTAGGTTGTATTTGTAACCTCTCAATTATATCTATTTTTCTTTTGATTTCATACTGTAAATGAGGTCAGTAAAAGCCCCTATTTAGCTTCTCCAATCTATTGTACTTTTATATATCTTCTTTTATTTTTTTGTCGCTTGCCATCTTTTCAAGCTTCTGACTTAAGTATTTCTTGGTGTAAGAATTTATCCACAATAAGCATACTTACTATTGGACTTACCTAAATTCCTTCTATTATTGCAAAAGAGTTTTTGTTATGGAGAGACAGGAATGTAAACAGTGTTCCAAGCATGGCCTCTACAGATCTGTGTTGAAAGAAGAAAATACCATTGTAATGCTACCTTTATTGTTCATTACACCCACAAAATTAGCTAAATATGATTTTAAATTTGATAATTGCTTGCATGGGCAGTATCTGAGACCTTCAAAATTCCCCCTAATTAAAAAAAAAAAGTAAATAAATTAAAGCAATTATTTAACCCCAGGAATTTTTTGGGTAAGAGAGGTTATCTTGTCTAAGGCTGATCAATGAAGTGTTATGCATCAAATTTCACCTGACACATTTCCTTCATGGGATGTGGTGTCTGAAGCTCCTCCTCACCTTCTCTGTTCTTTGAGGAAAATGCCAGTTGATGGATCTTAAGTGTAGATCCTGCTCTGCTGTTGCTTATCCACCATTCCAGCCCATCAACATATGGCAGCTTTGCTGATAGGATGAGTCTCCCTCCTCTCACTTAACGATTTCTAAAATGACTGCTGTTCATAGGAGTTGGATCTGTTCATACCTGCAAAACAATCTCGGGGTTTATAATTACAGATTTGTTGATAAAATATAGTTTGGTTTTCCAGGACTTCTATGATCTCTGACAAAGCTTATGCTAAATTAAAGCAGGAGATGCTCATCAACTTTGGGAATCAATTCCTTCTTTATAAACTGGTAACCTAAGTGTTTTTATGGATTTCTTTTATCTTTAGTAAGCATCCATAGAAAAGCTTAAAACCTTTTTAAACACTCTCTATTATTTTGGAAACTAAAGAAAAAAAAATATTTTCTTCTTAGCAACTGGTCTAAGTACTTGTCAGTACTTTTTACCTCTAAGCAGCTGTCTTACTGATTACAACTTTATTTAAGGATGAGAGCAGATGATGAAACAGGAGTTTGAATCTTACCTGGCTTCCTGACAAGCTCATTTCTCCATAGCTTTGTTCACACGCTCTCAGACTGGAAGACAGTGACTTGGTCCTGGGCTGCTGGGTTAAAGTGTAGGTATCACAAGAAGAAAAATATCTCTCCTTGGATACTGTGCATTTGGACAGACAGCTTGTCAGCAGTGTGATAGTGATGTCGCAGGCACCGTGGTTTGTTGTATATTTAGTCCACAAATGAGGTCATGAGAAAGCCTGTCACGAAGTCTAGAAAGGATGATTTTTGTCAAAAAATCCCAGTGGAGGGCACCTCTTCTCTAGCACACACAGTTGCATATTCTAATCAGTGTCTGCAAGGTTGGTGATGTTGAAGATCTCCCTAAACTGTCCTGACAGATGTGACAGACTCAGGCACTTCTGTTGAGTGGCTGCTCTAATGGCCAGCTTGTGCTGAGGAGCACAAAATGCTTCCGACATCCTCCATCTGGCCAGCTTCACACCCACCCAAACCTGATTGATGCCTGCTCAGGTTCCAGCCAGCCAGAAAGCAGAAGAATGGAGTATTATCAGGATTCAGGAAACGTTTTACTTTAACTGCTAAGAGAGGAGGAATTTATTTTCACTGAGCTGGGTTGCCTGATGGGCTTTATTACTTCTTACACTCTTTCTGTCACTCTCATTCTTTCTTTCTCTCCCCCTATAACTTTTGTACTTTCAGATATTTATTTTTCTGATTAAGATAAAATTAAATGGAATAAGGAGCTTGCCTGCCCTTTCTGCAATGTACCCTTCATTTTTTTGAATTATGCTCCTTTCTGGTAACTTTTTCACCTGGCTGCATTTAACTCTTTTTAATAAATCTCCCTTCCCAACTCTTTATCAATTTACAGTGTATCACATCTATGAGTTACTTTGTCATGTCTCAGCTCAGACCTTGCCACACAGGAAAAATATGTGCTAAGGTTGGCGAATATTAACACTGCTCACACCACTGTTGTCTTTAGTAATTGGGGTGCCAACCAAAGATCACATCCTCCAACATGCAGTGTTTGTAAAAATTTCCCACATGAAGGCAAGACCTAACTGAGCTGTTAAGGGCTGTAATCTCTTCTGTATCATTCAGATCA